AACTTAAAACGATTTATTTGCTAAATGACCGTAATATCTAGTAATCGTAATATATATTAAATAAAACACTTATAACGGTTCAAAAATAAACATCTTACTTGACTTATTTTTAGTTAATTTATTTCGCTAAATTCAACGTACGTTACGTAAAAATTTCGAGTTTTAAACCGTTTATAGTGGTTTATTTAAACTTGTACTACTCTACTAGTGCGTACAAATGCCATTGGTACGATATAAAAATACAAAACTTTTGCGCAATAAAATTAAACAATTTTATATTCACAACAAATTTTTCGTTTGATTGGATGAATTTTTATAAAAGTGAAGGTGAAGATTTTAAGAACACCGACAATCTGGAGTATATAATGGGTATTGAGAACAAAACGGTAATTAAGTTTGTACGTCTTAGTTCCATTTTAGATTCTTCTATAGATAATAATTGCTTTAAGTAAAAATGCTTTACCTACTAATCATTAAACATTGAAAATATCTTTATGTAATGGTTTTTAACCATTGAATGGTAGTAAAAGAAAGACCAATAACTTACGTTAAGCGGAGAGGTTGGGTATTGGCGTATTGGGTTTGAATCACTGTTCGGAATGCCAATAATTAATTATATGTTAGTAAAAGTCTGATTAACAGAATACATGCAGTTTTGTTTTAATGATGAGATGAGATGAGATGAGATGAGAGTAAAAAAGACAAACATGAGGCTCTATGATAGGTAAAATACCAGACGTATAACATCTGAACAAGATGCGCTCTCGATCTATTTTGGATGTTCGGAAATCCTTACACTGGAACCGAAACACTATTGAATCTACCGGGTGTAACTTTGAACGACGGTGGTTGGTAAAGAATATTAGTAAAGCTTACTAACGCGACGAGGGTTCGATTCCTGACCTAGCTGGTCAGGTTGCTAATTGATTTTCTGCTGTCATTGCTATGGATTTACAAATGTAAAAAAAAGGTCGACAGCGAATTTTACCTTTAAGATTTCTCTATCATTATATTCAAATAAAACATTTTTATGGGGTTAAAATAGTGTACAACTTTTATAATCTCGTTAAATAAAATTTAAGATAATATATTTCGCGCGTTAAACCGTCTAAAATGCTTTATTTAAATGTGTACTACTTGAGTAAACTACAGACGCTCTCCACTATTATCAGTCCTCTTCGTTGATAAAAAATACGATCTACAACAAATTGCTAATAAGAAGACAAGACAAGTGTGACAAATAGAATAAATTAAATATTAATATAAAAATCTTGATCCTTCACTCTATTTACCATAATTCATTTGACACCCATAACCCATACGATTCTGTTTGCGGTTAGTGTAATCGATCAATACATGACGACAGCCAGGTAGATGGCGCCCGCGCAGCTTTTAATACGCTTTAAAAACCGGTCAAGCGCGAGTTAGATTCGTCAACGATGAGTTTCGTAATTTTATCTATAAAATTCAAACACGTTTTTTTAAATATGGAAGCTTCTTTTAATATGTATTTTCAGTTTTAAAAGATAAATATAACTTCAACAAATTTCAGTCTACCACAAGAGTCTTCGCAAAATTAATTGAGAACTGTGGTGTCTTATTATTTTTTGGTACAGAACCCTAAAAATGTCATTCACAAAGGCTGAATAAGCATTCGATTCTTCGCGTCTATCTCACTTCCTTTATTTAATCTCGCGTCCCATATTATTTTAATCAGAATTATAATATCTCGAAACTAATAATATTAGTTTTATAATGATAAAATATACAAGAATATTAAAATAATACAGATTTTGTTTTCTGTCTACAATTTGTAATTACATTTTTTTTTTTAGAAATGGAAAACGTCATGACTCTTTTTTGTCATACATAACTTAATAATTATTTAAATGTCTAAAAAAAGGTCTGTTAATATTATAAGTAAAATATTCATTTATTGTCCAAATTAATAATAATTTGTTTCCCTGGAAGTCAATGAAGTAAAAATCTCCGTTTGAATTAAGTTGGTTTTAAAATTAAAAATTGATTTTAGATTGAGAAAAAAATGTACATCACCGTTATGAATTGAACCAGCGTCCACGGCGTCTGTGCTTATGCTCTAATCTAAAGTGCAACATGTGAAGAGTATAAAACTTTATTTTTCGTTTATAAATTTCTATTTCGTTTGTCACATCACTTTATAACGACGACTTCTAGTCGAAGATATCGGTAAAAACCCAAACCGAAGCCGAAGATAAGATAGAAGAACACAAGAATATCTTCAATACCTTCGCTGCTGATGAGATTTGCCGTCATGAAGGTGAGCTGAAATCATCGATAGGCTACATAATTTGGCTCCAGTCAGATAAGATCTAAATCACAATATTTAGAGGCGGCGAGAGATGTGATACCTTATGTCAGGTGCAGTCAATGAATCAAACATAATTGATCGAACGCCGGCGTGGTCGCGGGATGACGTTGTCATCCCTATGATATCTACATGGCTTTGTCACTTTCATGTGTTTCATGTTTTTGTACGAGAGCCTTATAATGCTGATAACAAATCTAGTCATTTTAAACACATATTACTTTTACGATAGAAGAGAATAGACACAAGCGGGGGGTTCTCTTGATGGTAGGTAAAATATCCCAGCTATATAAAATAACAAGATGCGCAGATGTCCTATTTTCGCGTTAGATATTCGGAAATTCCCAGACTGAAACCGAAACGCGACTTGACGGCTTTTTCGGACGGTCGGTGGTTCGTTATCCGGACGGAATGATATTCCTACCGCCCATTTAAATTAAAATATATAAGTTGACTTTTTATATTAATTTTATAATGCGCTTTTTATAAACCTACATTCTTGTCCTCCATGTTCCAATAGTAGAAGCGAGATTTCACAAGCATATCTCGTCCAATAGGTATTTTAATACCAGAGAGTTTGTTCAGGTTTGTCAGGTAACAGGAAACGCAAACTTTTATTTTTAATAATAAAAAATCTACTTAAAAACGGAAATTTTTATATTATTTACTTCGTATATCGATAAATTAGTAAATGCTAAATTACCTATTTACTATTTAATTAGAAGTATTTTCGCTATGGTGATATAACACTGAGGTTAAACGAAATCGTCAAATGCAAACATTTGAAAATGTACTTAAATGTAAAGTAAGGAAGGTGTATATTGCATCGTTGAGCGTTGAGTTAATCACGAGTAGTTCCCGCCACGTGGCTCTCTCTAGGCCAGCTCCCGCCCTATTGTTACGGTCAAAAGCGAGCCAAAGCTCACGTACTTTCACCCCCTCAAGGGAACAATGGTGTAGTCTTGGGAAAAAACTGCGGAGTTTTCGACGGCAGGTATTGTTAATGTTAGCTCATTGTGAGTTTATTTTGAAATCCCTCGACAGCGTGGTCTATTTTTAAAAATTCACTTTGTATTTTTATACGCGTAATAGGATTCGTGGCGTTTAGGAATAAAGACCTCACGAGGCTTGTGAAAATTTGTCAGGCGCGAGGGAACATCGTGGGCTTACCTACTTTACAGAGAAGAAAACTATAAACTAATCAGTGAAGTAATCCAGTGGTCATAATATATTTTGTTATATATGTCAATTTGTATCGTAGAAGAAATAACTCACAAATGTGTAAGGATATACTTAGTAGGTATTGTAACTAGCATTGTGACTCGAGAATTTATATCAAATATATAAATAGTGATAACCATAACGAATATAGACTGATCCAGATTGGAGAAGGTTAGGCCAAAACTAGCATATATGACATTTGGAGGTGGTCTTAGAACTAACTAAAAACATAAAATCTTTTACCCACAATAATGTTATGTAAAAGAAGTAATAAAGGCCTAACTTATAACCACACTGTTATTGATTATAATCAAAGCCAGCTGTACGTTCGATGGGCACATAATCGTGTGTATGTTACAGTAGATACGAGTTCAACTAGCGTAAAATGATCTTATAAGCACGTGCTTTTTGTACATTAGGGGGCTCCAGTGTATAAAGGTTAAAATTAATGCCACTTTTAATTCATACCTTTAATAAGTGTATAATATCCCGCTTCCACGTGGAACATGGGACTTACTTTTGCGTCTGTCGTGATTGTCTTTTACTCCTCGCACGACCCAAAGAATATATTCTACTCGGTCGAATTTGGGACGTTTCGTGTTAAACACTACGCTGCTTAGTTTAACTTATTAGCTAGATTTAGAGACGGAAAACTAAGAGAAAAATCCTTCAATACCTTAAGAAATAAGAACTCATGTGTCGTTAAATTCTTTTAATCTGAGTAGATTTTTAATTTATATATTGCCATCAAGCATTATGAATTTTACCTATAGTTCACAACGTGTTAGACGTGATCTTATTAGATAGATACAATACAAAATTGGGTTTGAAAGCATAAACATACAGGCTTCTTTGAAATAATAACTACAAAACAAACATATTAGATAGTCATTTTTTTTAATTAATTGTAAAAGAGTAATTTCGTATAAAAATCTGTAAATAAGAAAAATTGACATTAAGTTATGGTTTTTAAAATTGGAATTGCAGAATCTGTTTATACATATAATGTAAAAATTCTAATAGGATTTATTATACCTATATATACTTCTCTCAATTGTTTAACACTATAACTAGCCAGGACAGATTAGTACCAAAAGCCTTCTGTTAAGACTCAAATATAAGTTACAATTAAAAATAATATCACTTATTAATTAGGCAACTAGATCTAGATAGTTTAGAATAATTCGTTATTTTATTAGATTAATTAGAAAAGACAAACTATAAGTAGTTTGCCAACCTGCCGAAATCTCAACAAATAAAACGCGCGCGCAAATACAACTTTTTAATCAGTTCCACAAACAAACACGAAAACGCACGAATGTTCCCGCCCAATAAACATGTTAAATCAAGTAAGAACAAATAATCGGGGATAGAATAGGTCACGCTTTCGGCACGCGCTCAAACAAATCCTACTCGATTTCAAGCGTATAAAATGCACTATGAAGGGAAGCCGACAGGCCGTCCTAATGAGCGTGTGTCTTCCGGAGAGAGTCCTTCTCGAAGGACGCCCTGCTGGGACCCACCAGTGTCAAAGCTCCAAAGCTCGCGAACACGTGTAATAAAAAAACACTTAGCATTAAGCTTCGATGGTTATTCGGGCTGTCAGCAGTACCAGCATTATAGAATAAGAATGTATAACGTTGTAGTTTAAAAGTAAATTCTAGTGGGGCATAGGACGAATATATTTGTGTCCGTTTCACTTGTAAGCTTTATTTACTAGCAAGTATATGAGACTTCTGTGTCCTGCCCGACCAAAATTTGTTGTTTCCCCGAGATTCAAACCCGCAAAGCCTGGGTTGAGTAATTGACGTAAAGTTGTATTATAGTAGAATAAGAATCAATAAAGTGACTTGTATATTATATTAATTTAAATTTTTAAGAACCAGACTTAAGTGAAACAGATGAAAGATTCGTTCATAATAGAAATAGCTCAATTATTTTATTTCCCTTGAAACCTTTTCTGCCTATAATTTTAGGCCCATTTAGAACTTAATTTGTTAGTATATATAACTATGTATATAGTGCGTAAAAAAAAACAAAGGAATACGTCCATACAGAATTACTCCAATATGATAGAGTGAAGAGTGAGAGAAATGCACAATCGTTTTTATCAAATCGCTCGATGTTTAATTAATAATATTTATTTAAATAAAACACTTTAACGGTTTAAAACGCGATATATTAGTTAAACTTATTTGAAAATTATTTTTAACTTCGGCCCGACGTTTCGGATGCTTTGCAGCAGCCGTCTCCCTGTGAGCACGGCTGCTGCAAAGCATCCGAAACGTCGGGCCGAAGTTAAAAATAATTTTCAAATAAGTTTAACTAATATATCGCGTTTTAAACCGTTAAAGTGTTTTATTTAAATGTGTACTACTCGCGTAAACTATAGACAGTATTTAATAATATTTATTTTACAATTCACAATCTTAAAAAAACAAATTAAAAACATCACGCCACATCATCAGACGGCAACACAAGCGCTAACCATAAAACTAATACCACTATTAACCTCTCGAGCCCCGTTAAATAGAATGTTTATGTTGATCGAATCACATATCACCCACTATCGGGTGTATTCTATTAGGCCTGTGCTAATCTGCCCCCATTTGCAATACGATCCGATTACACGGCCTAAAAGGAGTTTATAACAAAAAAAAATAATAAAAACCGCTATAATAGGCACGTGGCGAAAAATAATAAAGTTGGCAGAGAGGTCGGTAATGAAGAAGGGCGTGTGGCGCGGCGCGTGCGGCGGTGGTTCGTAATGAGAGCGGGCTGTTGCCCTGCCGACTGCGTAGTGCCTAGTGCCTGGGAGAATGCGCCGGTTATTAGTGCCTAACCGATTCTTTTACACTCGATATTGGTTTTTGAGGAGGAAAGCTAAGCATGAGGTTCCCTGGATGGAAGGTAGGTACCCGAGCCATGTAACATTTGAATAAGATGCGCTATTGACCTGTTTTGGGTTTGGATATTCGGAAATCGATAGACTTTTTCAACGGAGCTTCGATATTCCTATAACCCATTTAATATCCAGTATTCCAAACGAACTCCAAAAGGATTCAGAAAACAACAAATATTACAAATTGATTAGAACAATGTATCCGGTGGGGATTGAAACACTAACCTGTTGATTATTAGCCATCCATTCCTACCATTGCGCCAACGAGCCACTTGGTGCTCTACTATTTTACGAAACAGATATAATGTAGAAGAGTAAAGGACTATTGAAGGGCACTAACAGACATTTGATTTAGGCAGGACCAATAACCAGAATAATCGCTGCTGAAAGACAAAGTGTCTTTGAAAAGACAACTTTGACTAAAACACTTTAACGGTTTAAAACGCGATATATTAGTTAAACTATGTCTCCCCGTGACCACGGCTGCTGCAAAGCCTCCGAAACGTCGGGCCGAAGTTAAATAGTTTAAATAATATAACGCGTTTTAAACCGTTAAAGTGTTCTATTTAAATGTGTACTACTCGCGTAAACTATTAAGACAACTTTGAATTTAATGGAAACGGCTGTTTCATTGCGTAACGCTAGACGGCGCCAGACGGAGGCATGTTTTTTTTCTCTAAGCACGAAAAATAGAACTATTACTAAATATATTTATGACCATGTACACACGTTTAATTCAACACTACGGAATAGTTATATTAAAAGCATACGTCGAAAATAAATAGATTATAAATAATGCGACTTACTTAAATTACCATACTTTTTCCTACGTAATTGTCAGTTATAGATTGACATCTATTCTTAGATAGTTGAAAGTAAAAAAAAACAATTTAAATCACTAAGTATCATTAAATATAAGTACGTACTATTCTGAGAGAATAACACCCCAGTAATAGCTAGTTTTATAAACGCCCATATATTACATACAGACCATAAATATTTCTTAGTATCACTTAAATAAGCAAATATCAATATGAATGAAACATAAACATCGTAAGCACAAAAACTTAAGTATATGACAGGCGGAGGTCTTTAAGAATGATATGTCTTAGAAACAATGTCAATATAGCCACCATTCAATTTCATATTTTATATCGGGCACAATATATTATGAATGTGTTGAAGTCTCCACATAGATTAATTCTTATAAAGGGACGATTGATCAAATGCAACCGATCACCATACCACAATATAGGTAACTGGTATTTGACGACATAACAGTTTTGTCGAAGGTCTTATTACCATGTACTAAGACCCACTGACTTGGTGCTTCGAAACCGGTTGACATAGTGTGTGGTCACTAAAACTGCGAGTATATTATATAAAGATTTTCGCCTAAATGAAAACAAAGACTAATACATAAGTACATAAAAAAATTAAACACAAGACAAAAGAAAGCAACACAGTAGATGTTTTGCTTTTTTTGCTCTGTTATTTAAAGAATCTGTCACAAGTGTGGATGGTTTAAATATAATTGTGTGACGTCCATCCCACATGATATACGCCAATCTCTTCGTCGTCTTTTTCAATAAAAATTAATAAAAACCAAGACTTCTAAAGAAATGCTTGGTGTTGTATGTTTATATGAGGAGTTGAAGTACTAATAATAACAGACCGAAAAATCATTTGAAATAAGAACCGCACTGTTCGCGGCCTACCCACAGTGCATCCACACTTTCCTTTTTTACTATTAGATATAAACGGACATTTTGTTAGTCAGTGCCTCGATTTATCGGGACCGGGGCATCTTCAAAAAAGGGTTATAAGTGTTGTAAGCGATGATGACAGGTCGTCTTGAAATTCATTCACACGTGATATGATAAAGATGTCCCTCGACAAAGATAACAGAACTAATGGAAACAATGGGCAGGTGTACTGGCATTCTTTCAATTTATTTTCGTTTTTCGAATTGTGTGTACAGTATTAACTGTCTAAATATTGGTATTATTTCACCGTTCAGCGACTTCTGTAGTATAGTTGTGTTGGTCATCAGAATTTGCTTTTGCAAACCTTCTCCTCATCTTTATAAGATTTAGCTGTCACCCACGACGTCGTTCGCGTCCCTTCACAGCTTTTTCATCTGTGGACGGTGGTTCAGATCTTTCGATATTAATTTCCAGATCTCCAGATGAAATCCAACGTTTTCAGAAAAATAATAAATTATTTAGAAACTTGTTGGGCCTGGTGGGACCAAACACACTACCCGTTGTTTATAAGTCGCACGCTTAGTAATAGAGTGACCTAACTGAAAATTTAAGTAAAATTAGATAAATGCACTGACATTATTATAATAACGCCATCATCATAGTTTTATACGATTTGCCAAAAAAGTGTTTTTTTTTTTTAATTCGGTCACTGTAATACTAAGCGTGCGAAGTCATACATTGCTACCATCAGGCCAACGATTTTTCGTATTTTACAGTAGGTACTGTTTTAGGCATAAATCAGTGTTTATTCGCAGCATTTCTATTTAGTATATTCTTCTCAGTTCAAGTAGGATTTCGTATTTGCGCGAATATTCACCATTTCGGCTTTACCTGAAGTTCAATACTATAAGCACCCATATACCGACTAAATGAACCCGGCGGATTCATCAGTGGGGATTATAGCGGTATTATCGACATATATAACCTAATTGGCTATATATATATACCAGATTTGGATCTACATACTTGCATATTACCAGATCGTACAGATGGCCTAAGTTTATTGATTTATTTGTATTAGTGAAAACTCTGAGAAAGGTCTTATACGTATATATCGCGACGGTCAGTCTCCCCGTGACCACGGTTGCTGCAAAGCATCCGATACGTAGGGCCGAAGTTAAAAATAATTTTCAAATAAGTTTAACTAATATATATCGCGTTTTAAACCATTAAAATGTTTTGATTAAATGTGTAACAATTGCGTAAACGACAGACGGTAGGTATTTAAACAAATATAAAGGAGAAAAATGAAATCTCGTTTCTCCTGGGCATATTTCTCTGCCGAAACAAGTAACAAAAAAATTTTGTTTTTATTACTCACTGAAACATTGAGGCACCATTCATACCATATAAGCAATTAGTTGATAAAACTTCTATGCCCTGCCCGACGGAAGTACTTTTTATCAAAAAAAAAATCGAATTTAATTTCTTTGAGAATATAACGTATTACAATTTCTCAAGTATATACAATACTTACTTAATTATTATTGTTGCTAAGATCGTGGATTATAACCGTTAAGTTCCCTTCAAGTATTTTGAAACAGCAGTGGGTACCGTGAAATTCATAATATTTCATACTATTTGCTAACTTACAATCACAATAGACCAAATAATCATATTGTTTCCACCCTACATGTTTGTATTTTTTAATCATTCTTTATTCTGTTTGGCTTACCATCCGTCACAAGGTAAATACAGGAGCGATTTTGAAAGTCAAAACGCTATTTACCTATGTTTTGAAATAACTATTAAAAATTACTTAGTTAAAACGCACACAAAATATACAGCAGCAAGGGAAGTACCATGGGGCTATGTGCATACATAACTTTTACAGATCTTTTAGTAATGAAAAGTGTAAGGCAGTAAATTTTTGGCTAATACAATTCCTTCTCCTATATCACCTCGTGAACAGAGCTGGAGCGAAAATTGTATTTCAAGATGTAGGTTTTATGTTAGAATTAATACAAGAAATACTTGCATGTTATACATATACTATAATATGTTTTTACTATGTTAAATTATTAGCGTTTTAACTTGAATATCATTGTATTTCGTTAAGTAAAAGATCTTGTCACTTGTACCAGCCCCTGCACGTAAGTGTTTAGATGACGTTAAAATATTAAAAGTTAGGGTTGAAGTGTGTTTGTCCATTGTTAAAACTCGAGAACTTTATTTGCTTTTGTTTTTTGTTTTTATTGCTTTGATGACTGTTTCTCAATAATATTCGCACTAGATACATATTGTTTTTGATCGATGAGTAGCTTTTGAACGCAGTAAGCTGCTTATTTGCCTTTTGAAGTATTCGTTTGATTACTGAATACGTAATGTCTATTCTTTTATTGTAAAACAGAGTTTAAATTGTTACAAGTGCGAAGCTTATCAACGAGCACTACAAATAAAAAATCTAACATTTAGCTACATAAAAGACAGAGAAACGATGATTTATGTTTTGAAAATATAAATAACATTAGATTTAAGTAAAATAGAGATAAACTTTATCATTTTTTTAAATTAAATCTTTTGAGTATGGTTCTTTAAAACAGCTGACATTTCCCGGCCTCATTTAAGGCGTAAATCATACTATTTTTACTCCTTAGAACTTAAATAAGTCCACTATGACGTGTAGCGTGTCTCGTAACATTTGGTATTCATAAAATATTTGATCAACAGATCGTGGGATCGATCCCCACCGTGTCCAACATTTATCTAATGAGTTTTTAATTTCTCGTCTGAAAATCTGTGTATTAAATAGGTGGTAGAAATATCGAAATTGCGTCCGGGCCACGAACTGTCCACAGATGAAAAAGCCGTCGAGTTTAAGCTGTGGATCAATCTGTGGATTTCCAAATTTCCAATAAGTCAAAATAAGTCAGCACATCTTGTGTAGATGTGCTGTTGTAGATATGGAGATAGCTTGTTGTAGATGCTCTGTTCTCAATCATTGTGGTATTATTAATCTCATACGCAATACTATGTACCTACCAAATATTGTAAAATTAATTACGTAAAATGAGATTATAATCATTAGAACGGCGTTTTGCGGATGAAGTGTTTTATAAATTCAACAAATACAGGCCTCTATAATCCGAGGGCTGATTCTCCCTGCGCACTCTCTAATTGGCAAGGGGTGGCTAAGGATCATCACTGACATATGCCCGCTCCGACTTGATCATT